TTAGAATTATTTGTTATAACGTTATATTGAGTAACGAAGCAAAATCACTTGTGAATCCTAACACGTTGATTTGGCAGACGGGAGGTTATGCAGTTGCCAATTTGATATGGGACTTGATGCAGACTCGGAAGATTGTACCTACACTTCCCGCGGTTAATGCTTGCTACAATGGTTTGAAAGTAAGCTTTTTTTGTTCCATATTGAATAAGCTCGGTTCATAAATCGATTGCTGAATTAGTTCTTGATAAGGTTTGATTTAATGGGAATCGCCAGGAACGTGAAATAACAGAGGATGATCCGAGGCTGATGCTAGTGACGCGTATATATACTAACTTGCGGCTTAAGGAAGGGATTGGGTCTACCTTGAGCCTTAAGGAGAAGATGCATTTTGATTGAAGGTTTCAGTAGCTTAAGGAGAAGATGCTTTTTCTTCCATGTTTTTTTGTTTATGCTTCTGATGAAATATCTTTGTAATATTTGCATTGAAATGAGATCTCAGAAGAAATTGCTTTATATCTGGCTTTCTTGTGACTGGTATAAGTTTGGTTAGGTTGTTCAAGGTTTCTAGTGTCCAGTTTCAGTTTGATGGACGAATTAAACGAACTAACGGTTTTGAATAATTCTCTTAACATCTTGTGATAACTTTCTCAAATCATATCCTTTAAAAATACGAAGCTCTAATCATTTTTAGAAAAGCATAGATTAGAACAAAACAGAAAAAAAGAAATCAGTATTAAATTATCCATTTTGGACATCCATATCTCATTCAAGCCAACTCCGATCTTTTGATATGCCAATATACTATGTTATAATTCTCATGGCCATCATGCCCAAAATCAGATCATGAATTTCTTTGTCTGAAAAATCTAACGGAAAAGTGGTTAAAACCACTTGGTCAAAAAAGATTTTAAACCGAGAAAGAGAGCAATAGCAAAAAACAAAAAATAAACTCATGAAAATGTTCTTTTGGTTAATTATCTCATGGATCATCCAAACGCATTCTTTTCAGTCGGTAAGATTTGACTGAAACCTGCAACTCTTGCTCTTCTTAATTGTTGCTGACAACGGAGTGAACAATGAGCAACAATATATTGTTTATAAGCATGTTCTGACGACTAAAAACATTAGCACAATCATCCAAATAGAAAATTAAAAACGACATGGTATTTGTATATGTAGTATTTTGTTCATCTTCTATTTCCTTTTGACACCAGTATTTTGTTTATCTTTTTCAATAAATAAAAAATATAATCAAATAAAAAAAACAAAAATTCAAGGAAGATGAGACAAATACTAAATAGTGGAGTGTCTAGAGAGAAATATAAAAAATTTAGTCTTGTGTAAAAAATAACTCTCTTATTAATGCTTAGGAAAATTAACTCAAAACCTAAACACCACAAAGCTCATATGTGATGTCACAAACTCGACATCCATATATATAATAAAATAACTTTTCTTTTCCTAATTGTATTAGATAATTCCTAAACAAACTAGAAAATGTATAATTAGGATGACTTAGGATGCAACTCTGCAAGCAATGTTGAAGCTTATCCAACAATAACTCAGTTCTGAGAAAATTTTCGTAGCTAGGAGAAGAAAAAAGAGATGGCCATCACTTCAACCTTTCTGTTTTTGTTGGTCCTTCTTTTGTTTTGCCTCTCCTGTGGATATTCCCTTCATGGTTTATCTCTTTTTAACTTCGCTTTTCTCTATTATAAACTGTTCAAAATTTTAATGTCATGAATATTCGAGATAATTAACTCACGATTTTATGAACTATACGTAATAAACTTGCATTATGCATGACTTATTAGAATGACAGTCAAAAAAATTATGAACTATTTCTTATATTTTCCATTTTGCATGAAATACGATGCATGCATGATTTGATATTTTTGTTTGCAGTAGAAGGCAGCAAATATATGTCATATTTATTTTATCAGGAAATGAAAAGTCAGGTGTTGATGTGATTTCTATTGGGCTTTTCTAAGCCCATGTCCAACTTCCCAATTAGTATGATATTGTCCGCTTTGGACCCAACTAGTAAAACCCGCATGGATTTGTTTTTGGGTTCCTTCCCAAAAGGCATCATCCTAATTGTAGTTGGACATTACTTATATACTATATCATATTGGTCTAATTTTCCGATGTGGGACTTTGGATTGATTCTCAACAATCTCCCCCTCAAGCCAAAGACCCTATAACTCTTGATCTCCAACTTCCAGCGATATCTTGTACCGTCTTGTACTTTTTAATCGCAAGGTCACCTTGAGGGTTTCTTTCTCACAACAAACATTCAGTCCAATCCAATTTATCCAGATCCATTTTTCTTAATCTGAGTTTTGCTACCATTTATTGGGTTTTTCTAAGCCCATGTCCAACTTCTCAATTAGTATGATATTGTCCGTTTTGGGTCCAACTGGCAAAGTCCGCACGAATTTGTTTTTGGGCTCCTTCCCAAAAGGCCTCATCCTAATTGGAGTTGGACATTACTTATATACTATATCATATTGGTCTAATCTTCCGATGTGGGACTTTGGATTGATTCCCAACAATCTCCCTCTCAAGCCAAAGACCCTATAACTCTTGATCTCTAACCTAGAGCGATAGTTAGTACCATCTTGTACTTCTTAATCGCAAGGTCACCTTGAGGGTTTCTTTCTCACAACGAACATTCAGTCCAATCCAATTTATCCAGGTCCATTTTTCTTAACCTGAGCTCTGATACCATTTATTGGGCTTTTCTAAGCTCATGTCCAACTTCCCAATTAGTATGATATTGTCCGCGTTGGGCCCAACGGGCAAAGTTCGCACAGATTTGTTTTTGGGCTCCTTCCCAAAAAGCTTCATCCTAATTGGAGTTGGACATTACTTATATACTATATCATATTAGTCTAATCTTCCGATGTGAGACTTTGGATTGATTCCCAACAATTTCAAATGCAAAGGTATACATGTCCCAAATGTTTACTTTTATGTTTTTTTGAGTTGTGAATAATAATACATAAGAACGAAAATTCAATATATAATGGTAACTCTTGTCTCTTGTAGTTCTCATCTGTTAGTTGGTCAAAAAAAAAAAAAAATGACTTCCACATGACGCGTAAAACTGCGATATTCACATAACGTTTACATTTCTCATATAGATTAGCTACTTTGAATTCCGACCTAACTTTTTTCTCAACTCATGAATATGACTCGAGTAGTGCGTAGTGTAAAATCAAAGAATGTTTGATGATGAACCATGTAAAGCAGGTGACGAAGCATGTTGATGATGATGTTGCAATGAAGAAGGTGCAAGTTCGAGGAAGAAATGTAGAAGAGTTTAGTAAGGAAACGAATAAGATGAAGACGAATTCGAAGAAGCTAACAAAGAAAGAGACAAGTGTTGAGGAAGAGGACGATCTCGTTGCCTACACTACTGATTATTGGAAACCAAGGCACCATCCTCCCAAGAACAACTGACCAAACTAATCTTATTTATATAAAGACTCGACAAAAAATATGCTCCTAATTTAATATTAAATGAAATCCAATATAGAAGATATTTAATAAAAAATAATACATATACATGGGTAATTGTGAGCATTGTGTTTGTAATATCGTTATATATTACCGCAAATACGGTTTCATATCGTCATTGGTCGATGTTGTCGAATTCCATAAATTGCCACTATATATATAAAACGCACGTATAGTAAATGATCGAATGAATATTTATAGAATATGTTTGTGACTTCTTACCAAGTTTTGTTGTAGTTTTTTCTCTATACATTGCATTGTATGATACTCCTTACATCAAAGTTACATCATGCGACAGTTTCTCTACTTGGAAGTGTGTTCTCCAGCTAGCAGATACGATGAGAGAAGAGACCAAACTTTTGCTGACTTACTGATCAGGCAACAAACCCCATTTGATTGTCTTGGCGAGTGCATCTGCTGACTTGATCATCACTATGCAGATGTCTAAGTCAGGCAAAATACCCTGAGATAATTAACATTAGACGGAAGAAGAATTTAGCCATGTTTGCTAGTTGTCTCCTACACAGACGATTGATCACCACATTGTAATCCTTGACAGAAACATCGAATCCTCGGTCACTACCAAAAAAATGATTATTGTTACAATTTTTTATGTAACAATAGATATATATATATATATATATTTCGTCACAGATTTTTTATTGTGATTAAAATATTACAGTTTACAAAATATCACAGTAAAATCGTCACAATCTCATATCCATTACAAAAACGTAACAACAGTTTGTGATGAATAAGAATAGTAATAATTCGTAACATTTTATTACGATCTTGAAATAGTTACAAAAACGAAACTAATTGTGACGAATAAAAATGGTAACAATTTGTAACATTTTGTGACAATTTTAACAGTTACAAAAACAACACAATTCATGTCAAAAAATACTGTTACAATTACGCAATAAATTGTGACAAAAAATTATCACATATTTGTAACAAATTATTACTATATTTAAGTCACAAAATCATTATAAATTGTGACCAAAATAGTTTCTCAACACCCGTTATAATTAGTGACTAAATTAAAGTCACAAAATATCATAATTTAGTGACTAATATTATCACAATTATGCCACAGGTTGTGACAAAAAAATAATCACATAATTTTCACAAATTGTATTTGTATTATAACGTTTTTTTGTTTATTATCACAAAATTATAAAATATTTCTAATTCAATTATTGCTATATTTTTATATAATAAATAATATACAATACAACATTAAAAAAAATATAATAAGCAATTGATAATATTAATTAACCATCCACCATCCGAAACAAACTTACACAAACCAACTTAAAAGAAAAAGTAGTCCTAATAAACAAAGTTACACAAACGAAACTTAAAAGAAATTAGTCTTAACAGAATATGAAAAAAACAATCCTAAAGATAAGTAGAAACAACTTGATAAAAAACAGACTAAACATTACTAAAAAGATTAAACATTACGTGACTTGCTTGGTAGTGGAAGTGGTGGAGTGAATTTGCTTGGTAGTAGAAGTGGTGAAATTTGCTCTATGCATTCTGATTTGCAAGAGACTGAAGAATTTTTTCAATAGTTTCAAGCCTTTTCTGAATTTGCTGGTTTTCTTCATGGCTCTGTTTGAGTTCAGCTTCCAAGTCCTACATCCGAGTTATCATCCCTGTTTCTTCAAAGTCTGTGTTTGATTTGGAGAAGCTTCAACAAATGGTAAAACTCCACTTAGTGCTCCAAGTCCAAAGATGTGGTTTTGTTGAAAAGACCTAGGAGCATATGCAGCAGCCTAGAATAGAAAACAAAAAAATAAATGATAAAAAACTACTTTAGTCATCTGATACAAGCACTAGATATACTCACAACATGGAAACTAAAGAATTATCGAACCAACGACCTAAACCACAACAAAGTCATTAATTTCTTTTTTTTTTTAAGCATTTCTTAATCAAGCCAAATAAAACCAAATACACGCCTAACTAAAAAACTTATCAAACCAACGACCTAAAACCACAACAGTCATTAATCTCTTTTTTTTTTAAGCATTCCTTAATCAAGCCAAATAAAACCAAATACACGCCTAACTAAAGACAACCACACTAATCAAGCCAAAAGAATTTGTGATTCCACCTGCTTCAATTACGCTGAACACAAACACATTTTCAAAAGAAGTTCCAAAATTGTATAACTTTAAAAATATTACCTTGACATAAATTTCATTTTATTCAGTTTGGCCAAGACTTTCAGCAGTCACATTCTCTTCACCGGCAGCTACAAGTTGTTCAAGTCGCTCTTGTATATACTTCTCATAAACTTCTTCAACCATTTTTGCTCGCTGATCAACATAAGTCCCATCAGGCTTTTGATGCACTTTCTTCATCACAGCAATAAATGAATAGTCTTCATTGTTTGCTTCCTGTAATCAAAAAGATAAAACAATGTGAAACAATTAAAAACAATAGTCAAAACTCAAAATTAGCATAAAATAATTTTTCATTACCAAAAGATCTTGAAGTTTGGCGCAGGATCTTGAACCACCAAGGTGAGAATGTGGGCCTAGACCATTTCGATCAGACATTCTAGAAGCTCGCGCCTTCTCACTGTTTGCTTTTGCTTTTGGTGTTGCCCAAGGAGCTAGCATAACAGTCCAATACTCAAGCAGAATCCAATCTGGTTTTTCACCTAGATTCTTTGCATGACTTATCATTCATCTGAGCCGATAAGCAGCAAGCTTATTAAACTCCCTTTCAACTTGATCATTGATGTTATTATGCCAGTTAAATTTTCTCTACAAAAAAAAATGAGTTAGTTTGAAAATGATTTATTCCTACAAAAAACAAGTGAAAGGAAAACAAAAAATACCTTAAACATTTCAAACCATGTTTGTTTATAGAAGGGTGGCACTCTTTTCCAAGAGTACCATGGTCTTCTAAAACAACTTTGAATGATCTCCTTCACAGCTGTTGATACTTGAGTGTGGTGTCCAAACCTGGTTAATTGAAATAGATTAACTAGTTGCTACTTTATGAAACTGTATTCTATATTAGATATCTGTAAGAGAATTTCTGAATACATACCATTTAGCGCCATTTTGGCGACTAGGATGGAGTAAAGGCAAAGTTGTCCGATCCACTTCTTCCATACCTACACAATAAAAACATGAGTAAAAAACAGATTCAAGAGAAGGTATACAAATTCAACTCTAGATTAACTTCTAAAAATCCAGAATTAGTAGATTTGAAGAATTACCTTCAAATGAAATCTCAGAACTGAAACACAACAAGTCACTTCAATGAAAAAGAAGAGTCGTCGAAACTGAAAGAAAAGAACAAAGTGCTTCAATTTAAAAGGAAGGGAGCGGTTTTCATAGAGAGTGGAGGAGATCACTACAAGAAAGATCGACTTTTACGTCGGCAGATATCGACGTAAATTCGACGTAATGTGCCTTTTACGTCGAATTACCGAAGAATGAAAAATCGTCGTAAAACAATCGTCGTAAAATAGAAATCATCGTAAAATTGCCAACACAAGAAAATCGTCGTAACATCGTCGGAAACTATTCGTCGTAAACACGACGTAAATATTCCAACGAAAGTACGACGAAATAGTTTTCTCATAACACCGACGTAAAATCGATGTAAAATTACATCGATTTAACAACGATTAGAAGACGATCTATTTCGCATAAGGGAAATAATTTTTTTATAGGTCGATGTAAATTCGTCGTAAAAGTTTGACGTAGATTCGACGTAAAATAAGTCGACGTTAATTCGTCGTAAAATATTTGACGTTAAGTCGACATAAAATTACGACGAATTTACGTCGACTTAGAAATTAATTAAATAATTCGATTTAAATTTAATTATTAAAATTTTAAAATAATCAAATAAATGAAAATTAAATTAAAAAACATTATAATTTAAAATTTAAATTCGAAAATAATTTATAAATTAAAAACAAATTATTTTTTACAAAAGAAAACCTAATCTACAATGTTATTTCATAATCGTCGAGGTTGAGATCGACGTCTCGAGGAGGCTCTCTGTCATGGCCGTCCGTCGCTGCTGGACCGTCGTTTCCCGTCTGCACTACCGGATCCGAAGTCTGACCCTGCGTCTGACCCTGCGTCTGCTGGTCAGATGGTCCACCGGAATTACCCGCAATAATCCCGCGAAATCTCCGTTGCCTCTCTCGGATTGCAGTGGCCAACTGCGGAACCGCTGCTGCTATGATGTCGAAAAAACCGTTGATTTCGGTGAGCTCCTGCTTCTGGGTCAGTTGCTCATGCTGTAGACTGGTGATTTCAGTGTTGGCCGTAGCAAGCTCCTGACGAAGTTGACTCGGATCCTCCTGCGTGCGGAATCCGGAAGCCGAGGCGGCGGGACAATCTCTAATAGAGTCCATCCCTAAGGTTCGACCCTTCTTCTTTGGAGCAACCTACAAATGAAAATAAAAACGTTAATTAGATCATATATATACAGATAATTAAGTACTAAATATAATAAATTTTAAAAAATTTGAAATCGATCATATACCTCCTCAAAGATCTGGTCTTGCTCAGCGACGGTCAACGGTACTTGGATAGTACCGTCAGGTGTGGCCTGGGTTTCTCGAAGAAAGCAGGTGGAAATATTTTCTCTAAATTGCACAACAATATTGGAATATTTGTAGACAGTTGTGCAACTACATCTGCTGATAATGTCCTTGTACTTAGATCACGAAAGAAAGCTCCAATGCCTCCTAGTGCCTCATGGACATGTCCCGGTAGGAGTTCAGCAAACGCAAAAGGAAGTAACCGTTGCATAAACACATGACAATCATGACTTTTCATCCTTGAAAACTTTTGTCCTTTATCCACAGATTTAGCCAGATTAGATACATACCCATCAAGAAATTTCACGGCTGATGATACCCAATTAAACAATGCTGTTTTTTGTTCAGCATCCAACCGAAATACAGGAATTGGTGCTTTCCCATTACTCACCATATGCAACTCAATTCTGTTACATATATCGGGCAAGTCCATCCGTGATTTAACGTTGTCTTTGGTTCTTCCTTGGACGTTCAAAACAGTATGCATGATGTTATCGAAAAAATTCTTCTCAATGTGCATAACATCAAGATTATGTCTCAGCAAATGATCTTTCCAGTATGGCAGATCCCAAAATATATTTTTCTTGTGCCAATTATGATGAACCCCATATCCTTCAGGCATATTCGCTGGAGTGTGCCAATTTCCTCATCGGGGGACCGTTTCAAGATTACCCCAATGATCTATTTGCGCTTCAAGATCTACCCCAGTTAGGTACACTGGTGGAGGGAGACGAACCTATTTGCTCTTTATAAACAAACGCCTGTTTCTTCTATATTGATGGTTTGGTGGTAAAAACCGACGGTGGCAATCAAACCAACAGGTTTTCCGACCATGTTTAAGCTGAAATGCATCAGTCCTATCAATACAATAAGGACATGATAACCTCCCATGCGTTGTCCAACCTGATAGCATTCTGTATGCCGGGAAATCGCTTATTGTCCACATAAGCACCGCTCGCAACGTAAATTTTTTACCATTCGAACAGTCATATGTTCGTACTCCAACATGCCACAACTGGTTTAACTCATGTATGAGTGGTTGCAAAAACACATCAAGGGCCCGCTTCGGGTGATTTGGACCAGAGACTAATATACTTAGAAACAAAAACTCCCTTTGCAAGCACATATCTGGAGGAAGGTTATATGGCGTAAGAATCACAGGCCATAATGAATATTGCCTACCGGACATACCAAATGGATTAAACCCGTCAGTGCAAAGACCAAGATAAATATTTCGCTTAGACCTAGCAAAGTCTGGATGTACGGTGTTAAAATGTTTCCAAGATTTCCCGTCAGACGGGTGAGTCATTTTGCCATCTGTTTGTGAATGTTCTGCATGCCATCTCATCGACGCAGCTGTCCGTTCAGATTGATATAGTCTTTTTAACCTATCAATGATAGGAAGATACCACATTCGTTGGTAAGGAATCTTCTTACGCCCAACAATTTGCGGTCTATATCTTGGTTTTTGGCAGAAACGACATTCTTCAAGCTTCTCATCATCTCTCCAAAAAAGCATACAATTATCAACACAAACATCAATCATCTCAGAAGGCAATCCAAGACTAAAAACCAGCTTCTGAATTTCATAATACGTTTCAGCAGCCAAATTATCATCTGGCAAATACTCTTTAATAAGATCTGCCTAATCGTTCATGCAAACTTCAGATAGATTGTGATCAGTTTTTATTGTCATCATCCGAGCTGCCAATGATAATTTTGATAAACCTTCCCTACATCCCTCGTAAAGAGGCTGTTTTGCTGCGTTTAACATATCATAAAAACGTTTCGCATCTGCATTGGGCTCCTCAACAGTATCAGCATGTGTTTCATGAAATGCATCAGTAACCATTTCATGCATCCTATCATGATCTTCACCCTGAACTTGACTACTTTGATAATCATTTGACGCTTCAAAATCCCCATGTTCTTGATGATTACTACTACTCCGTGCAGCCATCTGACCACTATTTTGACCATATCCCTCTCCATGCTGATACCAAATAAAGTATTGGGGCATGAACCTTCTATTCAATAAATGCTGCTAGACAGTGTCAATAGGACTATGTTTCCTATTTTTGCATTTCACACAAGGACAATACATTTTGCCGCTTTCAATTACAGTTTGCATAAGACCGGCCTGGTACATGAATATTTCCAATCCGTTTTTGAAGTCTTCAGTCAACGATCCATCACCATTTTTGGGCGTATACATCCACTTTCGTAGATCGTATATAGACATTTCAAAAACAAATAAGTGACTTTTTGTTTTTGAAATTTGATATAAATTTCAACTACTAAAAATTTTACTTAAACATTCAAAGACTCAAAAATTTGTGTCTTTATACGTTTTTTTTGGGTTGATGGAATAATGAGAGAAGAAAGGGTATATATAGATTTTTTGTTTGGTTACCAACATATTGCCATTAAATATTTACATCGAATTTACGTCGAAATAAAATTTACATTATATTTACATCGATATTACGTCAATTGCAATATAGAGGCCAATTCATCGTATTATCGACGTAAATTTTACGACAATGTTACGACGAAATAAATTTTGTTCTTTATTTGTCGTAATGTCGTCGTAAAATTACGACGATTTTACGACAGTATTATTTTACGTCGAAATTACGACGAAATATTTTGACGTCGTACATTCGACGTAACTGAGTCGTAAATTTACGACGACTATAAATCGACGTAAAGAATTCGTTGGAAAAGCCCCTCTTTCTTGTAGTGGATGGATAGAAATTTTTTAGCGCTTCTCTATTAGTGGGAAATTTTTGGCAACGTGGTTAAAGAAAGTTGAGGACATGAAATAAAAATTAGGGTAAAATTAATAACATTTCATTATTTATAAATAGCTAGAGTTAACCTAATCTAAATCATGAGACTATATAATAAAATAACTATCTATAGTGGGTAAAGGTCCAATGGAATTAAATGAGCAGGTGTATAAATTGAAAACTTATCTTCTTATATTCTTTAGATAGTTTTGAATGGGTCGAAAACCTGTAAATGAACAAGTTTGGATGTATGATCATACTAAAAGAGTTATAAATAGGTTCGGATCTATATATGAAAAAATGCAGAAGTGAAGGATTGAAGATAAAGTGAGAGTATTTTAGTGAAGGATCTATTGGATCAACTCAGTTTAAAGATGCTGAAGCTTAAATAGTGTTTGTATACTTACCATTCAAGAGGATTTCTCTTCCACGAGCTAAATCAATCTTGACGTTGGTAACAGCGATATCTTTTTCTTTCAATGTTAAGCTAGTATGCTTCTGTTAAATGAAAACTGATCAGTATAGCAATGGGACTGCAACATATTTTTCCTCTTATTTAGCTAAGTGAGTAACCATTTAGAGATGATCATTTCGATAGTAAAACGTAAATTGCTGACTAATTGTTAACCGGAAAATGAAATTGCGAAGAACACAAGGGATTGTCATTTACCATATCACCAGGTAAGTTACCGAATCCAGCCACAATAAAACTGTGGAACATAAAGTCAAAGTTAAAAATGCATGTATGAACTCAAAGCTTCTATTTAAGAAAGAAACAAAAACAAGAAGACAAAAGAGAACAGGGATGGAAAAGAGAATCATACGTCTCCCTTTAGGGTTCCAGCGAAGAGTGTTATAAGGACCTTCGCCAAGTTCCATCAAAGGTTTGCACTTCTTGTCAAAGATTGTCACACAAGCAGGCATAACTGAAGTCACACTTAAGGAAAAACAAAATTTAAAGAAACAATTACCAGAAGCAACATATAGATGCGAATAAACTCATACAGATAAGTCGTTATAACAGAGTTGAAAAAGAATACAGCCATATACAACGGCAAACTCTGAACCCGAGAAGGACCACTGAACATCATGAACTGGTCCTTCTTTACCTGTAAAAGCAGCAAAGAGCCAATACTTTCAAAAATCACAAGAGCGAATACCTAAAAGCTTAGGACGTACGTAATGGAACTAGGCCTTCGTGTGTGCATCTGCTGTAAGGTAGTGTAGCTTTGTTTCCCCATTATAACTTTGGTTGGTCTTGTCAACATCTGATTGTACAACCACTAAGAGTCCAGTGGAACCATGATTCCAACTAAACTGCACAGAGGAACATCGGAAGAAGCTACGTCGAGCAAGTGGCTGACTCTGTGAATCTTTCCCACATTCAAATATCTGGACACTGCCTGGACTCCCCTATACATGTAGGTATCAAGATGTAAGAATAGCTTATGCATAGAAGAAATAATTACACAAATGACGGTGTGCAGCTTATAAAATGATAGTAAAAAACATTTTGAGCTAGAAGGCAGTAACAAAACTAAACAGATCACGGAAAAGTTGTTTTACTATTAATTAAAACAGGCTATGATAGCCCAAGCGATGAAAATGCACATTTACTTCTGGAAAAAACACAACAACATGGAAAGCTCAAATGCCGCTATGATCCGAGATGTTATTCCTTTTGAGAAATCTATCGGGTCAAAGATTACGAACCTGAGAACTTTAGCTTCTGCAAGTTGTTCATCTGGATATAGTTCAATGTATCGACCATTGGCAACAATATCATACAAGAAACGTTTCTCTGTGTTGCTCTGCAAATTATGAAAGAAGGTAAAAAATATTTAAAAAAACATAAGTAGTTGTTCAGTTCGACAAGAAAAGAGAACATGCCTGTTTAAGAACTTACGTTTAGCTGTGAAAATTCAGTACTAGCTAGGATCATATCCTGTCAAGTAAACATTTAGGTAAATAAACAGCAAAGAGGGCTAGGAAGCAAGAAATATTAGATTGGATTTGTAAAGACTAAAAGACTGAAACCAGTAACTCAGTTTCTCATTTTTAGACTACGGGCCATTTAACAGAAGCAAAAGAGTCTTAAGAAAGGAAACTACCTTCACTTTTTTCACCATTTGAGCATCAATATCAATGTGATGCGTATCCACCATATGGTCAATCATTTTTACAGACATTAACTCATGAGACCTGCATATAAAAATTGCCATATAAAGAGCTGCAGAGAATAATAATCCAGAGAGCCAATGTATAAAAATTAAGGCAAAATTCTAATATCATATCAAATAACACCATGGCATTGATCTTTTCAAGGGATGTGCAACATACCACTGACAGTCACTAATGAGAGACGAAGACCCCAAGTGATCATCGGCTTTGACCATAGCACTACTATCATAAACTAATGGAAAGAAACAAGTGAGAAAGAGAGAGAGAATAGATATGGAACAGAGAGAACGATAATGGTTAGTGTTAATACCTTTACTTTAGCCAGTTCGACAGAGATCAGCGCGAGTTAATAAATTGGGGACAACCAGAGAAACCCATGTTCTTGAAAGAACTTGAGCAATGATGATAGGATGCTTCAGTTTAGCAAGAACAGGAGCAGCTGCATCTAATTGCATCAGATCAAAAAATTGGAGCATCAATAACGAAGCTACACAATTAAGGTATAAATTCGATCTACAAATCCGAAATCGGAGAGATCAAGAGTTAATTCAAGCAATCTTAGACCTAAATTCGACTAAGCTGATAGCAAATTATACAAACCCAGATCGAGATTTAAATACCTCGTGGTTAAGCTTGCATGCAGTGGCCACACCAAGGAGCTTAGAAATCGACAAAGATACAGTCAAAAGTGGAAAGCGCCGAGTCGAAATTGGAATCGGTGAGCAGAGAGTGAAACTGATCAATTCATTCTGTGACTAAGGAATTTTGTCACATTTTCGTATGAAAATCATCACAAAATTGTGACATAACAATTAGTCACAATTTTTCCGTAACAATATTTGCTTTTTTTGTAGTGTGTCTAGCAGCTGAAGAAAGAGCATCACTGCCATTTCAGGATCACCCTTCACACAATGTGCCTTGATCAGTTTGGTATACGAAAATTTTGATAAACTAACCTCCCGCTCCTGAAGCCAATAAAGAAACCTGTCAGCTTTCTTTATGTAAACGTAGAAACAAAGGCCGTCAATTAGAATATTATAAGTGGCAGGCGTAGGATCAAGATTTTGAGATATCATTTCTTCAAATAACTCAAATGCTCCGGACAAATCTTTAACCCTGCATAGAGACTGAATCATAGTATTCTAAGTGATCTGATCTGGAGTTATACCTTCAGAAGCCATGTCCCTGCGTACCTGGTTATTTTGTTCGAGCTTCCGGCCTATGCATATTCCTTTCATAAGCACCGAGTATGTGAAATTGGTTGGTGTGATTCCTTTTGCTTTCATTTCCAAGCGCAACTCATTTACGCTATCGGTATGTCCACAGTCTGCATATGCATTCATCAGAGTTGTATAACTCACAACGCTTGGAACCAATCCATATAAGATGATGACATCCAAGATTTTTCTAGCTTGAGCTATCTTCCGGGTCTTGCAATACCCGTAAATCAAAGAATTGAAAGTCGAAACATTAGGAGTTATCCCACTCTCAATCACTACCCTGAATAGCTCTAACGCCTCCTCAATGCAACCATACTTTGCATACCCGTCAATTACGATGTTGTACAGAATAATATCCAGAGTGTAGCCAGTTAAAATCAGAGAATCCAGAAGCGCTCTTGCCTCGAGTAGCATCCCTTTCTGACATAAACCAAGCAACATTGCACCAAGTGTCCAAGAATTTGGAAGAATTATTTTGGAACGCATCTCGTCGAAAAGCCAAACAGCAATATCAAACTCTCCTAATCTGCAGAGGCCATGAATCACAATAGGATATGCCACGAGATCAGGTTAATAACGATAAAGCTTCATCGATACGTTGAGCATTACACTGCAGGGGATGATACTGTTCAACTCAAATTCCCTTCGACAACATTTCTTTCAGCAATCTTAAACCCTTTTCGATGTTTCCTAACTGACAATGCGCACATAGTAGTATTGCGTATGTGATAACATCAGGACTCAAACCATTATCCAGCATTCCTTGAATAACCTCCGAAACCCAAGTGATCATGCCAAGAAGATGAAAACCTTCCGCAAGAATATTGTATGTGACCGTATCAGGTTCCACTCCATGCTGATTATTACCATCAGCAAATTCTAAAGCTTCTTCGATAGAACCAGCTAAACAGAGTCCGTTGATGAGTATATTGTGACTATATACACGAGGAACCAATCCACATTTCAAAACTGTACAGAACAATGACTTGGCCATACCTACAAAACCTAATTTACAGTAAGTTGCCATGATACTATTGAAAGAAACTACAGAGGGGTGATGCGTGTCAACTGCGTGAGGGAACAAGTTTTACCCTTCATAAAAACAAATGAAAGCCGCAAGTGCACAGCTAATCAGTTGTAGTATTTAGGGATCGAATCCACAGAGATTTGTGTGCCTGGTATTCTTCTACCGTTTCTAACTTTATGTCTAGACTAGATTGGTTTTAGAGGTTGGTTGTTTGTCACGGATTAAACTAAAACAAAAGAAAGCAAATAAATCTATCTTAAAGAGCAAGTAGAAAAATCGAATGGAAAGCAAATAAAGCAAACAAAATATCGAACTAAAGCAAATGAAATGCAGATCTAAATAAGCAAGTAAAAATCGATTGATTTGTAAACTATGGCTAAAAACGCTGAGCTTTTGGGAACTCTACAGGGATCATAATCGGTTTTAACACTAGGGATTATAGATTGGGATTGACGGATATCGAAATATAGGGTTCTAGAGCTAGAGTACGGCGGTATGACTATGTCACTATCGTGATCATAACCAACTGCTTCTCGCAACCCTGACCAGTAGGTTTCCACTCTGGCCCTGGAAGGGAGAGAACGCAAGAGCTGCACAAGACTCGTCAGTACTCACGATCTCGCCGCAGGTAGGTTTCCACTCCTACGGAGATCGCCTGTTTCATTTTATGTCTGATACTTAATGAAAACTTTCGCAACACTAACTATCTAGATCAGATACTAGGTGATCAATCAAACATACATGCCATAAGAACGAGAATAAACAGAGAAAAAAGTTAAAATCCCAGATCTATAAACCTAGATGTCTTAATCGATTATGAGAGCCCCTTTCGGAAACCCTAAGCCCAACTCGGGATCTACTCAGACATGGCTGAGGTCGACATCATCATTGGTTTTAATAAAAGTAATCAAAAACAGTAAAGAAAAGAGATGAAAGAAAGCTTTATTGAAAAACTCAGAGTTGAACAATCTTCTCTAAAAATCGCATGAAACGGCTAAAAGAAAAGAGTTTTTGTAAAAGTATGAAGGTTCTCTCTAAAAACGATCATGGTCGCTAGGGTTCCGGAATTGAGGCTGAGAAATGACTTTGGGCTTCAGAAATATGGGCTTTTAATCGGAGTTGGCCGGCCGCGGTCGGGAGTAACGTGACTGTGGGAAATAGGTGGTTGGCCGTGGTCAGGAAGCTTGTGACCGTGGGAAATAGGCTGGTGGCCGCGGTCACGTGACTTGCTGGCCGTCTTCGAGTGTCTCCGGGGCAAATGGAATATCTTGAGAACCAACCG